ACATTTTTTCCCAGACCCAAAAGCCAAGGTGGTCCGTGAAAAGTGGTCGGAAAATCGAAAAATTAAAAATGTGACTACCGGATGTTTTTCTATAACGGCATACGAATAAAAAACCTCTTAGACGTTTTTCGATATTTCGACATTTTTTCCCAGACCCAAAAGCCAAGGTGGTCCGTGAAAAGTGGTCGGAAAATCGAAAAATTAAAAATGTGACTACCGGATGTTTTTCTAATACAGTATACGAATAAAAAACCTCTTAGACGTTTTTCGATATTTTGACATTTTTTCCCAGACCCAAAAGCCAAGGTGGTCCGTGAAAAGTGGTCGGAAAATCGAAAAATTAAAAATGTGACTACCGGATGTTTTTCTATAACGGCATACGAATAAAAAACCTCTTAGACGTTTTTCGATATTTCGACATTTTTTCCCAGACCCAAAAGCCAAGGTGGTCCGTGAAAAGTGGTCGGAAAATCGAAAAATTAAAAATGTGACTACCGGATGTATTTCTAATACAGTATACGAATAAAAAACCTCTTAGACGTTTTTCGATATTTTGACATTTTTTCCCAGACCCAAAAGCCAAGGTGGTCCGTGAAAAGTGGTCGGAAAATCGAAAAATTAAAAATGTGACTACCGGATGTTTTTCTAATACAGTATACGAATAAAAAACCTCTTAGACGTTTTTCGATATTTTGACATTTTTTCCCAGACCCAAAAGCCAAGGTGGTCCGTGAAAAGTGGTCGGAAAATCGAAAAATTAAAAATGTGACTACCGGATGTTTTTCTATAACGGCATACGAATAAAAAACCTCTTAGACGTTTTTCGATATTTCGACATTTTTTCCCAGACCCAAAAGCCAAGGTGGTCCGTGAAAAGTGGTCGGAAAATCGAAAAATTAAAAATGTGACTACCGGATGTTTTTCTAATACAGTATACGAATAAAAAACCTCTTAGACGTTTTTCGATATTTTGACATTTTTTCCCAGACCCAAAAGCCAAGGTGGTCCGTGAAAAGTGGTCGGAAAATCGAAAAATTAAAAATGTGACTACCGGATGTTTTTCTATAACGGCATACGAATAAAAAACCTCTTAGACGTTTTTCGATATTTCGACATTTTTTCCCAGACCCAAAAGCCAAGGTGGTCCGTGAAAAGTGGTCGGAAAATCGAAAAATTAAAAATGTGACTACCGGATGTTTTTCTAATACAGTATACGAATAAAAAACCTCTTAGACGTTTTTCGATATTTTGACATTTTTTCCCAGACCCAAAAGCCAAGGTGGTCCGTGAAAAGTGGTCGGAAAATCGAAAAATTAAAAATGTGACTACCGGATGTTTTTCTATAACGGCATACGAATAAAAAACCTCTTAGACGTTTTTCGATATTTCGACATTTTTTCCCAGACCCAAAAGCCAAGGTGGTCCGTGAAAAGTGGTCGGAAAATCGAAAAATTAAAAATGTGACTACCGGATGTTTTTCTAATACAGTATACGAATAAAAAACCTCTTAGACGTTTTTCGATATTTTGACATTTTTTCCCAGACCCAAAAGCCAAGGTGGTCCGTGAAAAGTGGTCGGAAAATCGAAAAATTAAAAATGTGACTACCGGATGTTTTTCTAATACAGTATACGAATAAAAAACCTCTTAGACGTTTTTCGATATTTCGACATTTTTTCCCAGACCCAAAAGCCAAGGTGGTCCGTGAAAAGTGGTCGGAAAATCGAAAAATTAAAAATGTGACTACCGGATGTTTTTCTAATACAGTATACGAATAAAAAACCTCTTAGACGTTTTTCGATATTTTGACATTTTTTCCCAGACCCAAAAGCCAAGGTGGTCCGTGAAAAGTGGTCGGAAAATCGAAAAATTAAAAATGTGACTACCGGATGTTTTTCTATAACGGCATACGAATAAAAAACCTCTTAGACGTTTTTCGATATTTCGACATTTTTTCCCAGACCCAAAAGCCAAGGTGGTCCGTGAAAAGTGGTCGGAAAATCGAAAAATTAAAAATGTGACTACCGGATGTTTTTCTAATACAGTATACGAATAAAAAACCTCTTAGACGTTTTTCGATATTTTGACATTTTTTCCCAGACCCAAAAGCCAAGGTGGTCCGTGAAAAGTGGTCGGAAAATCGAAAAATTAAAAATGTGACTACCGGATGTTTTTCTAATACAGTATACGAATAAAAAACCTCTTAGACGTTTTTCGATATTTTGACATTTTTTCCCAGACCCAAAAGCCAAGGTGGTCCGTGAAAAGTGGTCGGAAAATCGAAAAATTAAAAATCCGAAAGCCTAGGTGGTCGTAATAGTTTACACTTTTGAAATATTATTTTGGACTTAATTACTTTGGAAAATGAACGAGTGAATAAATTGATTATTTTGAACTTAGAATACTTTTGTGATTATTACCATTATTACGTAGTATAAATTTTTATTGTGGTACATAAAATTATTATTATGGCAACACTGCAGAGTATTGCTGTAGTGATAATATTATAGATGTGATATGGACTTAGAAATATTTTCGCGTTTTTTTTCCCAGACCCAAAAGCCAGAGTTCAACCCAAACAAGAACTCTCATAAGGACCTAGTTAATATTTTAAAAAAAAAATCTAAACAATATGTCAATATATTAACATTGTTTGGTTTAATAGACATTTTAATTATCAATTTGGACAAAATTAGATCCAACATTGATTACTAATAGTGAAATAATTGATATAAATATCAATAATATACTCAAATAAAGGTACCTACTTGGTATGCAATGATTTATTGTTGAATATTCAAATTTTACCTTTCAATAACAGTGAACCACTCTACACCTACTCTGTATGTACCTACAGCAGAGCGGTAGGTACACGGTACACCCACTTGCCCACCAAACTATCAATTAGAAAAAATTAATATTTTTTTATATTCGTTCTAACTTCTAAATGGCCTAAGTCATAATATTATCGAAATATGCCTTTTTTGCAACCATAAAGTACGGGTGTTGATCGGTTGCCCTCCACGGCTGTTATCGGGATTTTAAAAATATACCAGTTTCCTTCAACCAAATGTCCCAGTAATAGTTTCTCTCAGATGTTATTATATACTATATAGGTACACTATTAAGATATATAGCCCGTAAAATAGGGGAGGTAAATATACAAATAATAAATACAATTATTTGTAAAAAATGAATTAAAATAGTATAAAATGATTGAAAAAAATTCGTATGCTTGTGATGATTACTAACAAAATAATATGAATACAATAGTCAATGAAATAATAATTGTTGTTACTCGTTACCACGATTTAAGATAGTACCTACCTATACTGGCTATACCATCTTAAATCGTGCTCGTTACTTATAAATCAGCTATCCACTTAAACCAGTCTAAAATTAAGCGTTTTGGTAAAATCCTAGCTTTGCACCAAGAAGTAGGCTATTATTATTAATACAATTTTCATTTTATCCATATTAAATAATATATTATATTTATTATAATAAACTTATAACTTATAACTTGTATTGAAATACACATATTGTAGGTACTTATGCAATTTAGACCAAAAATTAAAGCGAAAAGATTGACTGATTGACATAAGACTTAATGATAAAAAAAAATTTAAAAAAAGTGACTTAAGCCCTTCTCCCAGGGAAAAAAAGAATTATTTGACGCTTTGGTGATAGCTGTTTAGAACCACGATTCAAGATAATCTCTATAATATAATATATATAAAATAAAAATAATTAATACTGATACATATTATCTAAGATCGCGTTTAGAACATAGACCTTATGGCTTATACTACTTATAAGATTAACTTTGTAAAAAAAAAAATAGGTATTTTTTGCTTTTTGCTTACAAAAAGGCATTTGACTATGATAAATTAGAATTTTGTGGTTCAACATTTTGAATGGTCTGGTCAACAGCCATCCTTTTTAAATTTGGCCACCCCACCACAATATTAGTGATCCCTCATAACCACCAATTATTTTACAAAAATGACTATTTATTTTATCTAAATTATTTAGTTCTGTCGTTCTGTATAATACTTTTAGTCTTTAGAATATGAGCGGGGCGATGAATGTACCTATTGATTTTACAAAATGTATTGATTGTGTGTATCTACACGGTAATTAGTCGAAATAATGGTTATAGGTTAACTTAAATGAGTTCGGCGCCACTGGCTGTCTGATCTTAACATTTTCTGATCATAGGTACTTGGTTTAACTGTTTAAGGTCGCAAAATTCTGGGTGATATTTCAAAAATATGTATTCCCAAATGCTTAAAATGGACCTATATGAAACTACACTATTCAACATAATCATTGTACAAGATCAAAAGAATTATACAATTTAAAACTATTTTAGGTCAAAAGTGTAATGTTTATTAGAACTACGTTATACAGAAAACTCAAAATTAATTTAGGTCATCTAAAATAAGCTAGGTACTTTAATATAAATATATTTATATTTATATATATTTGGTAATATTGTGTACTCTATGAATTTAAAATACCTATAATCTAGCCTTATAATATTTGCATTTTTAATATATTTATTTTGTTAAGTAACCGTTGTTGCTCTATTTAAATAGTATGATACAATTAATTTAAATTTTTTAATCTAAAATAATTGAAGGTTTTTGAACGTAGGTATCCCAAAAAAGTCCAGTCCCAGTCCAGGTTTTTACTTTCCAGACTTTATGGTCCAGGTTATAACAGTCCAGTTTTGTCCGGTCCAGATTATTAAGTTCCAGTTTCGTCCGGTCCAGAATATTACGGATTTCAAATTTTTAATTTCCAGATTTTTACCGTCCAGATTTCTACACTCCAGGTTTTAAATTCCAGAGTTTAACATTCCAGGTTATTGCAGGTCACCTGTAAGACATTATTCAATACACCTATATAAAATTAGATTTCAATATAAGTACATAGGTAATTAATTGTAAATACTTACTTATATATTTTCAGTCCATACCCATTTTTTATGTTTCAATGGAGAGTAAAAGCAGAAACTCATATGATTGTGTTATTCGGTTCATCAAACATAATCTGATACCAAATTTAACTCCTGAAATTATAATAACCGATTATGAAACAGCTTTGAGGTTGACAGCTGCTGATATCTGTTTTTCCAGGAGCTCGTTCAGTTGGGTGTTGGTTTCATCATAATCAAGTAGGTGGTACCTATTTAATGAATACAAACAAGTATGGAAGTTTGTATAAATTGTATTAACATTACAAATGTTTTTTTTAGGCTGTTTGGAAAAAAATGCATAAATTGGGTTATTTACACTATGTTAATCGCAACGACAATGCATTAAAAACATTGAGATTATTGTTATGCCTACCATTATTGCCTGTCCAAGACATGGATGCGGGATTTAGATTAATTCGAGCTTTTGCAGTAAATCATAGGGTACATCTGGAAAGATTGTTTAGTTATTACGAAAGGTAATTCATCTTGTAAATTAATATATTATATAATTAGTAATTATACAACAATTATCTATTTCATTACTCTAACATAATAGAAGTAGTAAATAATATAAATTTCATGTGTTCTATCCTATGGACTATGGTGCTAAAAAATGAAATAAATTTGTAAAAGACATTTTAAATCTAAAACATGATTAATTCAATGAGAACTATTTTATTATTTTTAATTCAATTCCCCAGAATACATAGTAATGAGTTAATATAAAAATATAATATATAATATTACATAATAATATATGTTTCAATAAGTAATAACAGTAAGCGATAATATTGCAGCATATAAAAAAAAAAATAGTGGTAACATTCATGAAATACAAAGAAAGCATAGATTTTTTTTTTAAAAGATATTGGTTACAAAATATTGGGCCAGACATTGTGTCAGTATATGGTTTACCACGACGGACCAACAATAATATAGAGAGTTTCCATAATGCCTTAAAATTGAAATTCGCAGTCTCACATCCAAGTTTATGGGTATTTTTAGTTAAGCAAACTATTTTAATTGTTAATTTTAATATAAATGTATTATTATTAATATATAATTTTTTTAATATGAACACAATCATGCAATAAAATATTAAAATGTTATATATTTAGTATTATATTTATGTGGAAATGACAATGTTTAATTATTTATCAACTTTTTACAATATTTGAATTTATTACTAACACTTTCAGTGCTATGGACTGATAGTCAATATCATAGAATATATCTAATGTTTTATCTTCTATGACAATATCAAATAGTTTTAATTTTTTACTTTAACACATAAGTAGGTACCTACTTTTGAATGACTTCAAAAGTTGGTAAAATAAATATATTATATAAATTATCTGTAATACAGTAGGGTAAAGGTATAAAAAAAAAAAAATGCAGCAATGAAAGAATTAGTATGCTTAGTTATTAGTTTAGTTTGGAAATAAAAATTAATTACCAGCTAAGTATAAATATATTTATAGTAAAATTATACTATGTAAATTTGAAAAAAAAATTCTTTTCATAGGACATTTAACCAGCACAAGTAGCAACTAACACATTATTGTTCAGCAGCTAGATAACAACTTGCGTCCCACTAGGTATTTGAGAACCAAATTTTTGGCCAATAGTAGACGAATTAAAAATGCTTCAGAGCAGTATGATTTCAACATGGCAATTCCTTCAAATCTGCTCACATGTTACTGGAGCATATGAACTGAAACGGCGAAATTGGGCTTTAAGAGATAATGCTGATCCAGGACCTGTTCTCCCAGAAGATCCAGCACCTAATGATATTCCTATACTATACTATGGTTGTAAATTCAGTACAGCATAATGTCCCTGATGCTGTAAATCCACATGAAGCCATTAATCAAAATCTTAATGTAATAAGAGACATTCTATTGGAATTGGAACACGATAATATACCTGATAATCAACTGTTCCGGGATCCTGATGCAGTACAAAATTTACAACAAGGGAACATTAATTTGTGTATGACTTGCATTGGTGAAAGCGATGAAAAATATATTGTGCTACCATGTGGTCATGCATGGGTGTGTGTTGTGTGTGTTACCCAGTTGCAACAGGAAAATACAACATGTCCTATGTGCCGTGCGAGAAATGTTACATTTCAAAGAATGTTCTTTCCTTAAAAATTTATATTTTCATTAAGGGGATTGGAAGCGGCGATTTTCTGTCTTTATCTAACACACGTGGAACATAGGATTATAGACGTGTTCTATGTCCAACGTACAGATTAATCTAATGAAGCGATAAGAATTCTGAAAACAGATTTGAATTTGTCGTCAAATCTACTTGAGATCGACTTTCCCACATTTTTGATATTGTCCCACCAAAATCATAAAAATGATATATTATAAAAAGTACTTAAAAAATTTACAAATTTCAACTTTTGGAGAAGTTTAAATCAAAAAATCAAAAATGTGGGAAAGTCGATCTCAAGTAGACTTGACGACAAATTCAAATCTGTTTTCAGAATTCTTATCGCTTCATTAGATTAATCGGTACGTTGGACATAGAACACGTCTATAATCCTATGTTCCACGTGTGTTAGATAAAGACAGAAAATCGCCGCTTCCAATCCCCTTAATAGTTATAAAAAAAAAAAAAAATTGAAATATGTTAACTAGCACAGTTATCTACACAGGTTGGCGCTCGGAATTCGGATCTTATCACGTGGTTATGAGCGGTGTATATTCTAACTATAGCGCTAGTGGTTTGTGGCCATACTATTTCCACATAAAGCTTTCAAGAATAATGAGTTTATTATATAATTCGCACTTATTTACAATTAAATATTATTTATTATTTTGATAATACTACCTAGGTGCATTACTTTTTTTTTTTTCATTAATACGCGATTTACTCGAAAATCGTTCAACTTACAGAAAACAATAAAAATTAATTAATTTCGCATTTTAAAAAAAATAAGTTATAATAGATTGTCATTAATACATTTTCTTACAATTTATTAGAAACATAAACATTTATACCAATTAGTATCATTATTCATTATAGTAATAATTATGTAGTAAGCAAGTTACTAGGCAACATTTAAAGTCACGACAGGTAGCATATTTAACATAATATACTGTAGATAGGTAATGGGCAGATATATTAAACAAAAACTAATTAACCTTTTTGGTTGAAATTAATCAAAGAAACTATGGGGAGTATAACACCAAAAACGAACGCGTAAACAAATTTGTGATTAATGAATGTATGGCTCAAGGAGAAACGATATTCAAAATAATACCACAATAGATCAGCACGACTTTGCAATCATGTAGAATAGGCGGATGTGATATATGCGATAGCGTTATATGAAAGAAATTCAATATAAATAATAGTATGATTATAATATTGAAATTGACAGTTCACAAATTAGCTATCAGTACATTATAGTAATACACAGAATAGATTAGGAATTTCACTCAAAGGCCACATAGACCACATCCGTTAGAACCAAGATACAGTATCACTAGGCAAGGGGAGCGGGGACCGGACTATAAGAGGGACCACGAAACGGTCTGTATTCAGACCTGAACACTCAACAACTGAATAAACTTACTCACCAACTTAGTCAGAACTTTAACGATAACGTTAATACCGCCTCCATTTTCCTTGACGTAGAAAAAGCCTTCGACCGGGTCTGGCACGTCGGTCTCCTCTACAAACTATCCCAACTCAACATCTCGACTGAAATCGTTAAAATCATCGAATCCTTTCTCAATTTTGTCACAAAAATCGAAGACTCATTCTCGTCCACCAGACACATACTCGCAGGCGTCCCTCAAGGATCCTGCCTTTCACCTACTCTCTACTTGACTTACATTAACGACATACCAACAGCTCCTAAAGCACATCTCTCACTATTCGCTGACGACACTATGTTCTTTACTTTCGACAAAAACCCGAAACGAGCAGCCATACAATTACAACACCAACTCAACCTAGCTACCACATGGTTTCATCGTTGGAATATCAAAATAAAACCTACCAAAACTGTAGGTATTCTTTTCGGACGTTCCAATACTACTCACATCCCACCATTACTACTCGACAAATATCCAGTGACTTGGTCCAATCATGCCAAATACCTCGGCGTTATAATAGGGCGCAAACTCACCTTCGACAAACACGTTCAAGACATCACCAAAAAGGCCACTCACGTTCGCGGAATTCTTTACCCCATTCTCAACCGTTCTAGACCCGTCCCAAAATCTTCAAAACTCAATATTTTAAAACTCTACGTCTCTCCGATTCTTTCTTATGCTGGCCCCTCTTGGGCGCCCTTTATCGGTCCCTCACATTGGAAACGTATCGAATCTGTTCAAAACATCAGCATTCGCACGATAACGGGTATGCCCACTATCGTTAAAAACTCCGTCCTTCTAAAATCAGCAAATTTCAAGTCTATCAAAAATTCTATTCATAGCCAATCCAAATCGATGTTCTACAAAAACTCTTTCTCTATTCATGCCCACATCCGACTCTTAGGGAAATCTCACACCCCTCCAACCACAAAGCGTAGAATCAAACCCTACCCTTTGACATGGGTTGACCAACAAATTTAAAACCACCTTCCTAAACATCCATCCACTAGTAGAGGCAAAAGCCTGGTATAGTTTCACGGCTTAGCCATCCCCCCAAAGCAAAAAGCAAAGCTGTATTCAGACTTGTCCACTCATCGCTACTGCAAGCACCTTCATGCGACTCTGAGTAACGATTGTAAATTTGGACTTAGCACCGTTTGTGATTACTGGAACTCTTAATAAACAACAGTATAATTTTGCAATTGTGTTACAATTATGCAACCGATACCTCATCATCATAATAATACGGTCTAGCTACCTGCAACGTTAATATACTAGTAGTCATCAGAGCTACCAGTATATTATAATTATTTGTTATTACCAAAGAAGCTTTAGTTGGTGAAATACAGCAATATTACTTCATTAATGATTATTTTATCCTGCAAACAAATATTATCAAATTAATAATACACCTATATAAATCATTAAATAGAAAATACAATTGTTTTTGTTAGATGTTTTTGCACTAAACAAAGTATTTAGTATAATGACCATTGAAAAAAATCTTTATATTATTTTAAAAGACATGTTAAAATTTAAAAAAACAATAAGTAATAATACAAAATATAATCGAATAAGCATATAAGCAATTCGTTTTTTAAAAAGCCATTAAAAACATGCAACAATTTTAATATTATAGTAGGTATAATAAATAATAATTAACATAGAGTTGTATAGTTTTGAAACTTTTTTTTTTCTCTGGAGATTTTTTTCATCTTCAAGTTTTCCTGTTAAGAAAATTGTCTGAGTCGCATTTCAAGGTAATACACTATTATTTCTGTGGTAACTTCTGTTACATGTTGAACGCATGGGAACTTAAAATTAAAATTATTTTCTGTGATATCGTCAATAACTTTGTCAAAAACATCATATTCTTGACAGTATTTGGAAAAAGAATGTTCCAGGCAACTCAGAAATTCAAATAAATGTGTGTTAGGATAAACAAGATTTCCCCTAGACTTGAGTAAAATTAATTCTGAAACAGGATGTTCAATACTACAAGCTTTGAAAAAGTTGATGCAATTTTGGCATTTCTTCCATACCATAAGTTTTTTCGAAACATACCCGCATAAATAGTAGACAATACAGTCTCTTATACTGCATTCCTCATTATTGCTGTCTGTATTAGGTAGTATTTTGCATGGTTCCCACAGACCATCCTCAATTAATTCATCTAGTTTCCTTTTCAAATTATTAATTTTTTCAACACGCTGTGTAGTTTTGTCATGAAGTATTTCATGTATGTTACTTATTGAAATAAGGGGGGCATCGGAGTCATTGACTGTACAATTACCATACTTTGGCGGTTTCAAAATAGAATAGACTTACAAGATTCTGTAAAGATGGAGGAATGTTGTGTGATGATCATTAGGACCAGATGCTTGCCGTATAACTCGTAAAATCTTTTAATAAAACATTTAAAAGGATTATTTTATTTTATACTTCAAGGGGATCTCGGCACATTTTTCCTGTAAGAACACAACTAAATCCAGCGTTTTCCAACACATACTTAGATAAATCTATTGTTGACTTCAACGTTACACGAAGATCTTCAGATGTTTGAGTAGTTAGGAATTCTTCTGGATTAATATTTCCACCAAGCATTTGATTTTCCCAACAATTTTGAAAATTTAATTTTGTTTTTGGAAAATGTTATACACTACAAAAAAATAGATATTCTCATTTTAACAGAAACTTGGCATAACACTGTAGATATCTCTTATAACCAGTTATAATACATATTACTCTTTAATCAAACGCATTCAAAATGATGGGATTGTTATTTTTATAAAAAAAAATTTTTTGGTTGTCGATTTGCATGAATATGATTTTGATGAAAGTAATATATTAAAACTTTCTGTTATTACGAGGGATAATCCGATAGCTATATATTGTATATGTTACGGGTGAAGTACAAAAACGGTTAGTGTACATATTACCCGGGTAATGTGAACCTCATCCATACGAACAGTGTAATGTATACATTATCCACCTTAAATATGTAGTATCCAATCAATTTATACATTATCCGGTGTGCTATGGATAATGTATTCGTATAACTATAATGGTAAACTTATAACTTCGGTACAACATGAC